TGGTGAGATGAGTGATAGGACCAGTGGATCCTGTGTTCATGTGCCCATGCAAACACCTCTTTTGCTATAAGGTGGGTTCCTTGATCCCATAACAAAGTAGATAGTGTTATTAACTCCATTTTGTCCACAAGCAAAGTGTGATACTCAATGTCTCTCCATTTCTCAGCTCTGCCTTCCAGTGGGCAGTGTTTCTTCTCAAGTCTTCATGGTGGCCCAAATTTATTAGTTATTTATGAGAGAAAAAATCACAAGAATTCTTAATAAAGAATCTACAGGATTTGGTAACTCATTGGATGTAGGAATTGGGGTCGGGGGGATAAGGGTCGGGTCTTTGGTTGTAACACTTTCTAAGGTAAGTACAGAAGAGAATCTTGACTTTTGAGAAAAGATGCACACAGTTTGGTATATGTTGGATTTAGTATTTTGATGAGATACTCAGACGAGTGTACCTTTGTTTTTACTATATCTCAGGTCCTTCTAAAAAGTCACTTGAGAAACTTACATAAGAAGAAATAATACGGGGCTCCTGGGTGGCTCAGTCGGTTAAGTGTCTGACTCTTTGTTTCAGCTCAGGTCATGATCATGGGGTTGTGAGACTGAGCACCACGTTGGGCTCCACGCTCAGCTGGGAGTCTGATATTCTCTCTCTATCCTCCCCCCCCCACCCCTCCCCTCCCTCAAATAAATAAATTTTAAAAAATAAATAGAAATCAGGCTGGAGGGAAGATCATTTCTCCTCAGGAGACCTCCTCTGTAATTACCACCACCCCTGCTGGGTTAGAAGCCCCATTTGTATGCTCCCATAGCACCTATATTTTTCTCATCATAGCATTTATTTAAAACCTTATTACAACTGCCAGTTTAATATAAGTTCTATGAAGGTTCTATTACAGTTCTATCAAGGTTCTATTACAGTTCTATCACATCCCTATCCATGTAATATATCATCCATCTCCATCACATAGTACAACAAAGTTAAAATAATGAATGAGTAAACAAAAAATCTTATTTAATCCTTCTAAGAGAGCTGGGAAAAGGAAATTATCGTTCACCAGCAATGAAGCTCAGATGTCTTTTACTATGAAAGCCATGCCTCTTTCCATGTACCTTAACACATCCCTATTCAAAATGCATATGAGCAAACTAAAACAATCCACAAAAGAATGGCCAAGATTTGATAACAGATCACAAGGAATGGCTGAATAAGCCAGCAATGTTTGGCCTGAGGAAGATAGTGTGGAAGAGGTTTTAGACGAGGCAGTTTTGTGTGGCCTGCTGGAGTTGGACTCCAAGGACAGACACATCATAGAAATAAAGAAATTTTGTTTTACAGATGTTGCTGAAGGGAAGCCAACCACCACATAGGAAAAACCATAAAGACAGATTTTGATCTCAGTATAAAGAAGTTTCCTATCAGTCAAAGTTGCCCCAAAATAGAGTTGCCTGAGAGGTAGTGAGTTCCTTGTCACCTGGCTGTTTCAAGCACAGGCCAACTAAGGATTGGCAGCCAGATGGTAGTGGATGTTGTTTTGAAAATGCAGGTGGATTGGATGGCTTTTGGGTTCCCTTCAAAGCTGCGGTTATGTGATTCAATTCTCAATAAAGGACAGACAAAAAGATCTTTAGTACTTAACAAGAAAAGAAATTTCCTACCAGGAATGTATGTATTTTTACCCATGTAGGAGGAATACCACAGCAGAAAATGGTCATACCAGGTTGGGTAATCCTGTTGATTATCTCCATCCCATTTCCACCATTCTATTTTCTTACACTTTAAGATTGTACTTCAGCTTCCCATGCTGCAGAATGGAAAATGTTCTGAATAGCCAACTAGCTTATGCTAGTTCACTTAGCCTTTGGATTTCTCCAGGATTTCTCCAGCACTTCTGAGGTCAGTTATTGCAATCAGTCTCTCTCAGCCTAATCATGCTGGAACACTTAATAAATTTGTGTTTCTGGTCTGAAGAACTGAGAACCAAACTCTGAATTTTGGTAATCCACCAGTGTGCCTCCCCCCTGCTTAAAGCAGCCACCTAAGTGCCACATATGCTGGAAGACAGGTGGATACTCTGGGTCAGTCTCCACTCCCTTTAGTTTACAATATTAATAATCATAGCAATAGAGGTAATGACAGAGCACGTAATGAAACAAAGAGAACTATTAAGAAATTAAGCTAGCTTTGTTTTAACTCTTTATTATTTCTCCTGTAGAAGCATCAAGAAGGAATAAAAAATAACACCCGCGCCCAAGTGAGCCAAGACTTTAGCTTCCTAGAGGTCAGAGTCTAGGCTCTGAGCCTTCATGTGCTTCCCAATGAGCTATCAAGACATCTTATGTAAGAAATGTGCAGTTGGGTTCTTAATTTTGTCTATGACTTGAAAGGAGGAAATTGGAATTGGGTATATTTCCAAGGATTTGGAAAAAGAACGAGAATTTGTTTTTCCTTGGGGATAGAGAACTGAGCCTGCTCAGACCAGCCCCTCTGTGATGGCATAACCTTGAAAGGAGTGGGTGCCAGGTAGCTGATACAGTCTACAAAGCCTGCAGGGATGAGCCCTGAATTTCTCCAGAGGAAATGGAGCTATGACAGAGCCAGTCTCCATGGAAGGACCCCTCCCTAATTTAGGGGCACAGAGCTGGACAAGGAGACCTCTGGGTTGTTGAGACATCCACCAGGACATTGGTACCCCAACAGTGGCATCGTGTGGTCACAAGAAGCAATAGCAGCAGAGACATCCACGGTCTGAGAGACCAGGAGATGGTGTGAACCTCCTGGTACACCTGTACAATCTAAGGAAGGAGAGGAGCCCTAAAGTGATTGGTAATAGAATTTCCGCCAATCATGGCCAGTGGGGGCTTAGACTCTTCTAACTGAATCCATATGAAAAAAAAAATTTTAAGTCACTATTGAATTCTGCTCCCATTTTATTTTCTCTTTTTTAAACATTTTTATTCATTTATTTGAGAGAAAGAGCATGCGCACAAGGGGGGAGTAGAAGGGGGGAGAAGCAGACTCCCCACTGAGTGTGGAGACCTACCGTGAGCCGTTCCCAGGACCCCGAGATCATGACCCATCTGCTCCCATTTTAAATCCCCAACTTCCTCATCTAAAGTATTCCCCTGCCCTGTCATCATCTGTATCCTTACTCCTTTTTTTCCTTCAGAGCCCAAAACCAGAAAGCCCTTCTAGTTCATATGTTTGCATGTTTTTATCTGTCTCATAAGTATACTCGTTTATGGCTGGTCTCCCCCTACATAATCCACAAAAGCAGGGATCTTGTCTTTTTTATGTGCCACTGTATCCCCAGTTCTTAAAACAGTGCCTGGCAGAAACTCCAAGCTCAGCAAATATTTGTTGAGTAACTGGATGAATGAAACAAGCTCTGCTCCAGGCACTGTGCTAGACACTTCTGTAACTTAACCCTCACAGCAGCCCAATAGGGGCTCTCATTATCCCATTTAATAGATGAAGGAATTGAGAAGCCAAACCATAACCACTGAGCTCTCCTGCCACTCACCATTTCTGTTTCCCATCCCACTATTTACCTTTTCCAAGAACACTGCGTTAAACATCCCCCCACTTCTCCTCCTGCAGGTTAGGTTGTGTCCCTTCTGTCTTTCCTCTCAAAATAACGTATGTATAACAATCACTACATTTACATCATTCATGTTTGTATCTCCCCAAACTCTGAAGTCCTTGGAAGGCCTCAGGATTGTCATCTTGGTGTTCACAAGACCTAGGAGAGGGCCTGGAATACATTAGGCACTCAAAATGTTGTTATATGACAGTAACTGAATGAATGGGCTGATGACCAGGCTCCCATCCCTAGCTAATCCCCTCACACTTCTCACTTCCCCTGGGATGTTCTTGCTTCACGAGGGCCTACTGTGGGCCAGGCATGGTATGTGGTGTGGGAAATACAGAAATTAATAAATTAACAAAACAGCAGAGGAGCCGCAGTCTAGTGTAGCGTGGGGAGAGTAATGGCAAACAATCACAGTCAGCACAGTTAGTACTGCAGCGTATAGGTGGTGCTTTGGGAGCAAGGAAGAGAAGCACCTGGGCCTGAAACAGGGTTCCCTTGCTGGATTTTGCGGGAGAGTAAAGATGAGAATGACAGCACACAGCTCAGTGTAATTCAATAGTAGAATGAGGGGAAGTGGCAAGCGGTGAGGCTACAAAAACGGGCAGAAGCCAGATAGTGAAAGGTTATGTTAAAGATGTTGAAGGAATATTCAAGAACTCACTTTATTCTGAAGGTGATGGGGAGCCACTGAAGGGTCTGAATCAGGAGGATGATGGGATCAGATTGGCAGTTCAAATAATAGTTGGGTGAAAGATAAGGTCTTTAAAAAGTGGTCAGACTGCAGAGGTCAAAGCAATAGGATAACTGTTTCCGAGAGGGAGGGGAGTGAGAGATGGAGGAGCCAGGGAGGACTCCCAGGTTTCTGTGTGGACAATGGTGCCACTCCTTGGTAAAGAAAACACAAGAGGAGGAGCAATTTCAAATGATACATAGTAAGTGCTCAATAAATATCTATAAAATTGAAATTGGACTCAAAAGGTAGATTGCTTGCTTTGGACAGACTGAGTAGAGGTACATTTCAACTGCAACTCAGGACAGTGTGTGTGGCTGTTGGGAAAGGCCGGAGAGTAAATGTTCACAGAGGAGTACCCAGAATGAGAAGAGGGCTGAGAACAGAGGAAAACCCATTAAGAGGTGGAAGAGGAAGGAGAAACTAAGAGGAAAACCACCTGTTGACATTTACTGAGCACCAACAGCAAGAGACTATACTGGATGCTTCTCTCTGAGTAAAGTGCTCCAGACACAAGGGGCCACCAGGGTATTTCTATGTGCCACTAATCAGAGCCCAAGATTCACTGGGAATCTGAGAAATGACACAGTGCTCTTTTTGAAACTGAAACCACATTCCAGGTTCTAACATCTGTCTTAGGCCTTGCAAGCCTTTTCCTCCCACCCCTTCACATGGAGTCCGGATTAGGTGGCATGACTTTTATTGACGGTGAGTGCAAGCAGGTGCAAGAGGCTGCTCCTTTCAGGGGACACACGCTAGCCTGAAGGAGCTGGGAAAGGCCAGAGCTGGGCTGTGGGTGCAGGATTCACTCCTTATTTGGGCGTGAAGGCTGCATTCTGAGAGGGAGATTTATTTTGGGACCAGGCACAGGAGAGGCAGGCAGCGCCAGCCCTTAGGCCGCACTCTCTATTTGCAGCATCGCGGCTTCGGCAGCCGCAGGCCTCCCGGGGTCTTCCTCGGTGTCCTGTGGAGGTTCTGATTCCGGCTTGGGCTCCAGCGCAGGCCGGGCTTCCGGCTGGTCATCAGTGCTCCGGCCAGGCCCGAGGCGCGGTGGCTTGACCGGCGTGGGCGTTGGTGCTCCAGGGCCTTTCCGGCCAGACAGGGCCCTCCGCAGGCTCTGTACCTTCTGCAACCCGGTGCGCCGCAGCCGCCGGGCCCTGGACTCCACCGGCTCCTCGTCCGAGCTCTCCTCAACTTCGGCCTCGGGCTGCTCTGGGCCGAGCTCGGACTGGTCCGCTGGGCCTAGGGGCTCAGGCGCCTTCTGGAAGGCTCTGGCTGGGATTTCAGCCTCCTCCTGCATGTGATGAACACAGCTCTGACCGTGGCAGTCCCCGACCCCGCAGCAGCCTGAGCCTCACTCCTTAATTACACCGGGGAACCCGCCCCGCCCTTGGCCTCCGCAGCCCGAGGGGCAAAGAAAAGGGAGACGTGGGAAAGTAGGGAGCAGGGGTGGAGAGGAAGAGAGAGCTACTGGGCGAACCGCAAAAGTTTGCAAAGTAGGTAGGACCTGCTTAGGCAGGATGGTGGTCGCAGGAGCAAGAATCGGAGGCAGCGAACTGTCGCGGGATGCACTCCCGCCACCGTTCGGGGATGGGCTGGGACTTGGAGCAAATTCTGTGGACGTGGCCTGAGCTCGAGCTGGGCGAACTCTGGTTGGCCAGGCTGGGTTCAGGAGCTGACGGATGACGCAGCGTGGTGGGAAGTGGGTGCG